GTAGGATCCTGAACTCCACCATCTCATGGTCACTGCAGCCAAGGCTGCCCCCAACCTTCACATCTCCAACTAGACCTTCTTTGTTTGTTAGTACAAGGTCTAGCATTGCACCTCTCCTCGTTGGCGTCTCCACCACCTGTGTCAAAAAGTTATCCTCAATGCTCTGCAGGAACCTCTTGGACTGTTTGTGCCTAGCTGTACTCTCTTCCCAACAGATGTCAGGGTGGTTCAAGTCCCCCATGAGAACCAGGGCCTGTGATTGTGAGGCTACTGCCAGCTGTCTGTAGAAGGCCTCATCGACTTCCTCTTCCTCATCAGGTGGCCTGTAGTAAACCCCCCACAACAGTGTCACCCAGGTTAGCCTGCCCTTTAATCCTTACCCATAAGCTCTCAACTTGCTCTTCATCCACCCCTAGGCAGAGCTCCATACATTCTAGTTGCTCCCTCACATAAAGGGCAACTCCACCACCTCGCCTTCCTGGCCTGTCTTTCCTAAAAAGCACATAGCCATCCATGGCAGCCTTCCAGTCATGTGAGCTATCCCACCATGTCTCTGTAATTGCAATGAGATCATGGCCCTGCGACTGCACACAGATCTCTAATTCCCAGCTACTTTCACTTGTCAAAGAAGAGAACAGTGAGGGGAGAGAGCAAAAGAAACTCCCACATACATGTACTTTCACCCTTATCTCTCTGAACATTGATAGAGGAGGGAGCAGGCTGTGGACACTGCACTGCCAAGTATTTCTAAAGGCAAAAAGGTCACCATTCCTTTGGCAATCTTGGCCTTACAATTTGCCCTATTTATACTTTAAAAGAGTGTCCACAAGAAGAAAGCAAGCTTGAACCCGACCATTACCTGGATCTGTCTCTGAATCATTAGGGTCAAAAGCATCGTCTTCTGTGAATGGGCGAAGGCAGCTCTGTCTTTCTCCAAACACATGCCTATTCCTTCTGGCTGGTAGTGTCCCATCTGAAGATGATAATGCAGTTACTGTTAGCTGAACTGCTTCACCTAATCAAGATAAACTTCTCCAGTCTCCAATTAGTCCTAGAGTATGGGAAGCAAAGCATCACCAGCAATGTCATTTCACTTTTACATGACTCCCATTTGCAAACTGAAGAGCTGAGCTGAATTGATTTCAGTGCTAGAAAAATTAAAATCAGCACTGTCACTCCTCAAGGGATCATGTTTTATGCACCACTTTTCATATGCTGTCCTAAAAGCTCCTTCCAGCACACTCAATACATCCTATTTTTTCATTTAACCATGGAAACGGCAACCTGCTCTTACTGTAAGAAAATGCTCACTTAAGATGCATATGACACCAAGTGGAATTTGCTGGTATGAGTTTATCAGGAAATGCTCATGTGAGCACTCAGTGCAGTGAGCAGCTCTTTCTCAGAGCAGACAATGTCACTCAGTAGCTCACAATACACAAAAGTGTTCCAGTTCAACTTTAAATGGGGCCTATCACGTCTGGAAAGGTGTTATTATTGTACAATTGGACATATTGACATACACAAAGGTTACCCTGCTTTCCCAAGTCTACAGAGTGAGAACAGGAACTCTGTTCATTTGATATACTCGCTAGACTTTTTCTTCCCCAACTCCTGCACTGAGATTTTACTCCTGAAACTTCTAGGCTCAGTCAACCACATGCTTAATCAACACAAATCCCATATGGAAGGTAAACTCCCTGAAGTCCCCTTTGACACTATCGGAGACGTATCAGAACTATGCTCACCTGAGGTTTCTGCATCCACACCACTGTCATCCACCTTGAGGAAGATCTGAAAGGTAATGCCATGTAACAGTGAAAATCAGAAATGGTGCAATGTTGTGGGGACTGCTTCAGGCAATGTCAAGAGAGAAACAAAGATTGACAGATGTAGTATGGGAAAAGAGGACACAAGGTTTGTCCCCTGGGTGATGTCAGTGTAGAATTTGTGGCTCCTCTCCCACTTCCAGTAGTGTAGGTTGCAACCACATGTCAATCATCTCCCCCTTTCCTACATCAGTTCTTAGTAAGTCTCAAACACAAGCTATTTCCTACATCTCAGAGAAAACTTGGTACTAAACTTGTGGAATTCCACCTTGCTTCTAGTTAAACAGTGCTGACACTGCTGATCACGTTGGAATACAAATCTTCATGAAGTTTGGCCCCTGGGCTCTCCTAATCCAGAAAGGCCCAAATTTCAAATTGCAGGTAACAGCAGCGAGGCCTGGGCAGCTGTGGGAAGACTACAGAGGGCAGTCTAAACAAAGGATGACAACACCAGTTGAGTTTCTGTGATCACTATTAAGAAATACAACATGTGCAATTGCAGATACTCAGGAGACAAAGTGCTTGACCTCTGTGAAAAAAATGAAAGGAGACCTGCCAAGTGGAACACAGTCAAATCCTAAAAATGTCCCTGAGCAGAGAATATGGCCAAAGGGTTCCTACAGAAAGCCAGTAATGGATCTTTTCAGTCAAGTGCAGCATAAAGCATCCCTAAAAATACTTCAAAGGACTTTACAGAGTCATAAGGAACAGATTTGGGGCCAAGCCTCACACAATATAAATGTGTGGAGTTCAGTTGACTGCAAAGGATCTGCATCTGTCTATACTAAATCTGTTTTTAATGTGTGCTTCTCCAGGAGCACACTTAAACTGGGCAGGAGAAGAGAATTCCCTTTGGACTGGAGCACAGCTTCCTGTTTCAAGATAAGCAGGCTGATGCTTACAGGAAGAAGACACAATACTGTCTTGTTCTGGTTTCTGCAATCATTCATTTTGTCTTGTCTAAGCCACCAGATAAACTTCAGCTCAACTCACTTCCTCCAGGGTGGTTTCAGAGATGCCGTAGCTGGAAATGCTGAGATCAGAAAGGTGGTCATCGATTTCATGGAACAGCTCCACAAAAGCTCCCTCTCTAGCAGCTTCGTATGGCAAGACGTAGGTTAATTCATGGCCAATATCCTCCACCAGCCTGGCCTCAGGAACGTGTTTCATAATGAGGTTAGAAATTGCAGAAACATCTAGAAGAATGAAAGGACAAGATGATGCCCATCTTGTTGCTCTGTGCCTCATGTGGAAAAAGGAGCTCAGAGTCTGGAGGAACCTTGCCAGCAGGGGAGGAAGGAAAATGGGACATCCACTGGAAACCAGCACACTTCCATGGAAAAACTAGCTTCCATTTACACTCAGTACAAGCTTGGACCACTTCCTGGCATTTTTTTATTTGCAGAATTTGTGAGAACTTTCAAATGTTATCAGCTGCCCTTCAAGTCATGGATTTAAAGCACACCAGCAAACTTTACTTAGTGCCAAGAGGTTTAGCAAATACATCACCTTTGACATGGATTTACAAATACTAGCTCTGTGAACTTCACAATCTGCCTAAGATTGTACCTACACAGGCACAACAAGGTTAAGGGAGTTGCCCATGGTCACAGAAGGAGTATTGTCAGCATTGGGATCGAACCTTTAACATATTTTCCATTTCTCACCTATTGTTAAGGTGTCGCTTTCATGGTCACTGCCAAGGCCAGCATCAGAGCTGCTCTGGGAGACACTGTCATCCTGGTCACAAAAGAGAAGACAGTCATTGCTCCTGCTGTCTGAGAAGGGAGCCACCTACATGCTATAGTCTTTGTAACACCAACCAGATGATGTAGCATGCTGGATATTCCACATAGGAGTTAGAAGGTAAAAGTGGCATACCACTGCAAAGGGCTGAGATACAAGTAACAGATCACAGTAATAAAAATGCACATTACAAAAGGGAAAGGGTGTATTTAATATATTCCATCTATCTCCAGTCAGCTTTGTAACCACTAGCATTAAGAGAAACTATAATGAAAGTGTACTTCCTATGCAACAGCTTAACCAGATACGAACCTATAAAAGCAGGCAATGCCTCTTCTGAAGGAATGAGGGATTTATCTTCAACTCATTCTACCATATTAAATCTTAGCTGCTGCTTCCCAACAAGCCCAAAATTTGACATGAGAAGAATGAACATAAGCAGATAGCTGTACCTTTTTCAGATAAGACACTGTGTTGCTGCTGTTCCGGTAGGGGCTCAGAGAGGAATCCACAGCCTTCTTGACTAGGGTCAAATAATAGCCTGTTCCTAACTGGTTCTTCAGGAATAGAGAGGAACCAACACAGCACAGCTTGCCATGAGAAATAATGGCAATTCGGTCCCCCAGAATGGCTGCCTCATCCATGTGATGCGTGGAGAGAATGATCGTGCGGCCTAGAAACAGTCAAGGAAAGACACTGCCAGTAAGTCAACAAGTATCTATGTCCCTAAGCCAGGAAGGCCATGATCATCTAGCTCTTGCCATAATGTTAGATGGGAGATTTATCCCAGAAGTCCAGCCTCCTTCGGGCAAAGTTAACAGTATGGCCTCTGTCACAGATGAATTCTCTTCTCTCTCTCCCCATACCCTTGTCATGTACAACTGAAGTAGATTAACTTCATGTCAACAAAGTTACACAGAACAAGAGGGACTCTCCTGTACACCAAGGATGAACTTTTGATCTCAGCTACCCTCATCAATCCAGGTGAGGGTCAGAACCCAGTCCCTTTTCTCACAGGGAAGGAACATGGCCTGTTCTTGAGCACTCTGACATGAGTGGGCTGAGAAAGGAGGGCAGGTGAGTGAATGATCAGAACATACTTGCCCTTCACACTTTGTTACTGCTTTCAACACAGGCACCAACTGATTTGCAAAGACACTTTGCTGTCTTGGGAACACACTGTCCCTCAATCATAAGTCATGGATTGGATTCCCTTTTGCTTTCAGTGACATGTTCACTGGGAGTAGGGAAAAAGACCAGATACCTTGTCGATACTTCAGCAGCAGTTCCCATATCCCTCTGCGAGAATAAGGATCCACCCCAGCTGTGGGCTCATCCAGAATGACAACCTTGGACCCACCAACAAAGGCCAAGGCTACCGAGAGCTTCCTCTGCAAGCCACCTGACAGACACAATAGAAGAGATGTTCAGGCTGGAGCAGTGAGCAGGGGAACACTGCCTGGTGAGAATGGAGCTCTCCAAAGAGAAAGCAGAATCACACACTTAAAAGACTGAGCACTGCTACCATTGTCAGGTCCCGCAGGCTTCCATCACCTGTGGGGCAGGGAATAATTCATCTGGACACTCTTCCCCCAGTGGAGTCCAATCCTCCTGCTGCTACAGGAAACCGTATCATGCAAACCATTTTGTAAACGGATCACACAGCATCTTAAAACCAGCAGTCACAAGTCCCTAGCTCAGGGGCCTAACCATCTCTGAGGATCTGGAGCACAACTCTCTAACAACTTGAGCTGCAGGAGTAGGTCCCCAGGAGATTCCCCTCCTTTGGAAGGAACCAGAGGCAGCAGCGAGTGGAGTTACATTACAGTATTCAATACTGAAGCAAGCCTCTGCCAAGCCCTTCTTAGAGGGTCTCCCTGGCTAGGGCCTGAGGAGCAGTTGAGAAATGTAAAAGCAGCTGAACCTACCAGAGAGTTTGCTTGTTCTAGCTTTGAGTTTGAGAGGCAAACTATAATCCATTGCCATCTGCTCCATTTCCTCTTTCACCTTCTTTTCTGACAGCCCTTTGAGATGAGCATAGAACCAGATGTGTTCTTCCACAGTCAGCCTAGGGAACAGGAGCAGACCCAGAGCAGGGCTCAGATAATCATGCCGGGATTCGTCCTTTGCATTACAAGAAGCATTCTTGTTTGCACAAGAAAACATCTTCTAGGGCCAAGGTTTCAGGAAATAACTAGGGATTGGGTGTGCTCAGCATGGGTCTAATTTCAGAATGTGGCTTATTCAGCACTGATATAAATGATGCTCCTTTAAAGGTGCTTCAAGTAGGGTACCCAAAACTTCCCAGATCACTAGGCACTGTGAAAACATTTGGCCTAGTTAAGTTTATTGGAGCAAATCTCTTTAAAAAGAGAAGAAAGATGGAAGTGTAGAATTTTGTTAATAATTCATAGGCACATTTGACTCTACCAATAAACAGAATGTCCCTGTGCCATTTGGCACCACCCTACTGTCTCACAACATATACACAGATAAAAATAGCACTTTCCTAATTGGAAGTACACTAGTATTTCCTAATGAACCCAAAAGTGTTAGATAACAGCAGCCCCAGGTTTCATGAATGCTACTCACAAGTCAAACAGCACATTGTGCTGTGGACAGACACCAAGGTTCTGCCTAATGGTGCTAAGCTCAGAGCGGATATCTTTGCCCAGGATGAAGGCTGTACCCGAGGTTGGAGGAAACAAGCCAGTCAAGATGGACCTGAATGATAAAGACAATAGATAAGCAAGTTCCACCTCTAGGAAGTTACTGTTGTACACAGCAGCATGAATGAAGAGTGGATGGAAGCCCTGGAGAATTCCCACATCAGGAAAGCAATCTGGAGTAACATCTCACAAATGGATGAAAACCAGCTCCAATGGACTTTAACATGATGATCAAAGCACATCTGCATGACACTGCTTGAGGGAAATATCTTTCCCTCTTTGTAAAAGCTTCCTGTGCTTTCAGTCCCCATTCATTCCCTTATGCTGATAAAGCAGAGTCACAAATAGGATTACTGAAAAATGCTGCCAGCAGATACATTCAGGCACAGCCTTGATCTGAACCTGGGCTACCTCCAATTTAGGGTGTTGCAGTCCCCTATAACTGTATATCTTCAGAGCCAGCTGCACAGCTAGAGTAAATCAGCACGGCTCCACTGAAGTCAATGGAGCATCCTGATTTACATCAGCTCTGCACATTTTAGCTGTAAATCTGTCTACCTCAATCGTATTGATGAGGACAGCAGGATTCAGAGCCACTCCTCCCACTATTTTAAAGCGATATGTTGTTCTTACATGGTAGTGGTTTTCCCAGCTCCGTTATGTCCCAGAAAGGAGGTGATTTGCCCTTCATAGAAGTTCAGTGTGAGACCATCTACAGCAATTTTCTTGTCATCACTATAAACCTTGACCAGGTTCTGGATGGAAACCCCAAGGCACAGATGCGTGGGCTCTTCCTCCTTGCAGACTGGAAGGAAAAAAAGAGCGAAGCAGAAAGTGAGACAGTGGGTTTCACCAGTGCCACTCAACTGAGTAGCAGATGTAATAGAAATCACATTCCCCCAGTTTGTGGAGATTCACAGTGAAATGGGCCTTTGTAAAGAAACTGCCTGAATTTCTTCCTCAGGGACAAGAGCCTTCCATGAAAGTTGCCCTTTAGCTCTGCAGTCATTTGGAGGCCAATAGAGTGAAAAGAGAGGTTCTCATTGCATTGGGATCAGACTTCAGACAACACTGAGTTCAGCAAAAAATGGGAGGAATTAAAAAATCCACAAAGTTGGAGCACCCACCTGCCCACCCTTCCTGCCCTCATGTGGACAAAATATCCCTAGGTTTATTTGGATAAGGATTGTACAGTCAGGCTCGAACTGTGATAACAGGGATTTCACCTTAACCATGCTAGCTTCGCTGCCCTTAAATCCTTCTTTCAAAGAGAAAAGAGCCTTTTTGCAGTGAAGTTTTGGGGTCCCTGTGTCCAGCACTTACCTTTTGAAGGCCCCTTCTGGTCAGGGTGAGGGTGCTGCCTGTCTTGTGATTCCTCACCAAACCAATATGACTTTGTGAAGGGGAAGTACCAGGGTCTGGGAATGCCATATTGGCCTAAACAGAGAGGAAAATGAGTCCAGCTACAATAGTCACTGTTCTCAGCTCAGCCTTCAGGACAGAAAGGGAAGTATTCCACCTTCAGTAGGCTGGCCATGGGTCTAGGTTAGGCAGAACTAAGCAGGTAATCTGTCTTGATGAAGATACTGCCAGCCTTTGGGGGGAAGAGCAATCTCCCTTCCCAAACCCTACTTTAATATCAGGGTTAAGAGTCCTGTGATGGGAGTTCCTAAGTACCCATATGCGGTGCCCTCAACTCCCCTCCTTCAGCAGGGTCTGTAGAAGCATAGCAGTTCAGAGGAAGGACCAGCACCCTGCAAGACCTCTTAGCAAGAGATAAACAAATGAAGTTGAAATGCAGCAAAGCTTCTGGGGCTAGCTCAGCTGTCACTACAATGGGCCATGGTTGGTCTCTGCCCTGGGAAACAGTCAGGAATTAGCAGCAGTAACCTTACAGTGCTGCTGGTCTGTGGTTTCCCTCCATGACCTTTCTGCAGCTCTGCCTAAATTGGACCCAATTTATCATCTTGGCAAATGGGTAGGGTCAGAGGATCCATGTAGAAAGGTGAAGGCATGGTCCTCCCCCATAAGCAAACCTCACCTGGGAAGATGGACTCAATGTACCAGGTCATGACCCCATATAGGAAGGTATCAAACATCATCATGATGGCAGATGTGGTGATGCTGAAGCCATCTTCTTCCAAAGGCCTCTCAAAGAAGTTGTCCCACTGAACACCAACTCCCTGCTCCTCAAACAGTGCAAAGTACTCACAGCCAAAGCCAAAGGCTACTGGGGACAGCAGGCTCTGCAAACAGGAGACATGAACACACATTAAGTTTTCTACAACTACTCACCAACAGTTCAGCTCTTATGGAAGGCTATGGACAGGGCCTAGAACCTCATAGGAAAAGTCAAAGGTCCTGGGGGGCACACCCAGGTTTGCAGAGAGGGAGAAGCAGATTTTTAAGTCCTAGTTCCGTGCTTTGCAAGCAGGCAGGGCCTGATGTCTCTGCTGGACCAACACCTATAATTCAGTTTGTTTCCTCATTCCTCGCCTTGCTCCTTGGATTTGTACACAAAGGAAGATATCACCAACAGCCACCCTTTGCAGACAGGTATCACAGAATCAAAGAGTGGTTGAGGTTGGAAGGGACCTCTGGAGATCATCTAGTCCAACCCCCTTGCTCAAGCAGGGTCCTCTAGAGCACATTACCCAGGACCCTGTCCAGACAGCTTTTGAATATCTCCAAGGATGGAGACTCCACAACCTCTCTGGGCAACCTGTGCCAACGCTCAGTCACCCTCACAGTAAAGAAGTTTTTCCTTATGTTCAGGAAGTTCCATAAGAAATGTTGTAGAGAAGAAATAAATCAGATGATTCCTTCAGAGAGAAGGATAGCGGATTCTGCTGCATCAGAAACCAATGAGCAAAACTACTGTCAACTTCAGCAGGGAGATACAACCTCAGCACTCTAGTTCTGAAATCCCATCACCAATTGAAGCCTCTGTTGGTCATTGTCAACTATACTAAAACCTTCTCCTCCACAATGCCCTTCATCTCTAGTGGTGCAGCATCACTGCAGTATACAGAGATCAAGGGAGCTTAACGTGGCTGAATTACTCCTGCCAAAGCCAACAAATCCCTCACAGCCACTCAGTAGGTTCTACCAAGCCCAGCCCTGATGGCCTCCTGCACTGGAAAATCATGCTCCCAGCGCCCCCCCCCCCCCCCCAATCAGTGTTGGAGTAGAGTGCTGCTAGGTGCTGCCCTAACCAAGACCCAGTGTCCAGGACAACCTCCCCAAGACTCACCGCAAAGATCTTGAGCGAGAAGCTGACATGGTCCTGCCAGGCAACACACAGCACATAGGGTAGGTACAGCATGAAATAGACAATGCCCCCGCAGGCAGCTGCCAGGTTGGCCCTGGAGAATGCAGTGCTGATAAGGAAGTACTGGAGGATGGTCACAATAGCAAAGATCGAGAGGAAAACAAACACCACGCTAGGATCGCTATAAGGCAGCAGTTTCCCCATCTGGCAAGAGAACAAGATTTGCATCAGGCTTTGAAATGACTCTCTGAGACAGCTCCAATGCAGGCTGTCTGCAGAGCTGTAGCCCAGGAGAGGGTAGGCTTGCTGCAATTTGCATGTTACAGCAGCCTTCCCAGAAGTGGATAGGACTGGGGCAGTACCAGAGGCAGATTTTGAAGAGCATTGAATGGATCTATTATAGCCCCTTCTGCTGTTTTTAACCACTCAGCCTTGTTTTGGTCCCAAAAACCTACTCCCAAAGGGCTACTGCCCAACCTACACCCACTACCTCCTCCCTAGTATGTAAATACAGACCAGGGGTTAGTGGGCTACCAGACAGCAAAGCTCTGGCTTCTGCTGTCAGGGAAGGGAGGACAAGAGAAACAGCATCAGTGACCTCACCCTGAGGATCAGCACGAGCAGGCCTGCACTCATCAGGAGAGGGATGAGGCTGCTAATGAACCAGCTCAGCCATAGGATGCCATTGTCTAGTCCCATAATCCTCATCGTTTCCTTCAGCCGAGCTTCCTTCTCGTACACAATGCCCTTGATTATCACAGCCACTGAGTAGATCCAGGCCAGAGTCATGAAGAGGGGCATTGAGTGGCTCATGACTTGCAGAAATCTGAAAGCAGGAAGGGAAGGAACCAGGGGAGCGGGGAATGAGAAATGTCAGTGCAACTGCAAGCACAAGACATGGGCTAGCAGAGCCTAGAGAGGGTGGAGGCCCCATTACACAAAGCAGCCCATGTGCAGAGAACCACACAGGGTCAGTGCCTCACCATGACATGATGCTCACTGACAGGTCTAGAATATATCACCAGCCCTGAATGGGAGCCTGTCCTGGAGTTGCAGTTCCAGCTCAAGGGAACAGAAGATGCAAAGGACTGCCTTACCTGGGGACTGCTCTCAACTGTCCTCTTTCCACTCTCCCATGCATAGGTCCCTGCTTTTTCCTCAGTGCTACCCTTACCCATATCAGGTTTGGGGATAACAGGACCATCTGAGGAACACACTGCTGTTATCCTTCCACCCTGTATGTGTAAGTTCTGCACAGAACTCTCCTGGGAAGGACTCCACCTACAAACCATTACATACCCCTAAATCTTAGTGCTATGTACTGATTATAGAGACACACTAAACCATCTCTGAGGAGCAACAGAAGCCCACACTTCCCTCCCTGATCATGTTCCCAAGAACTTCTGAAGCAGCCTGAATACATACATGTCATCCACATAACATGGGTAGGGCATCTGCTGCACATAAACCCCTGTTGTCTTCTCTGTGCCTGTCTGCACCCTGATGATGGCCTGTTCCACCATGTCCTGCAGGTAGGCAAAGCCTCCCCAAACATAGTGCATGTCCTCAAAGGGGTCAGCCCGGGGACCAGGGTCCCAGTACCTGAGCCGAGGAAACAAGACCTTCTAATTAGAAATCCTTAGCCAGCTCAGCCCCTCATTAGAGACTGCTACAAAGGCAGCCAGTCAGGACTCACCCATCCTTGATCTTGTTGGTCCTTTCCACATTGTCTATGTCCATGCTTATTTTGTATTTGATGTGATGAGGGAGGTCTATGCTGTTAGGAGTGATTTTGGTGAAAATGATGCCAGCCCAGAATCTCTTTTCACCTAGCAGCTCCAAGGACTTGTTTATAAGCTGTACTTCTGTGGCCACAGGCTCCAGTTTGTCCAGATTGACACACTAAATAGGGACAGATTTGGAAGCCCAGAGGGGTCTGGTTACACTACAGGCAGGCTGTGGGTTTATGAGATCAGTTTACCAAACTAGAATGTGCTATAGTTTACGTTTGGGAGGGAGAAAAAAAGAACTCTACAGTGCTAATGCTACACCCAAGAAAAGACTACACTGCTGGATTATTTTGCAGTGGCTCATGGTAGCCCAACAAGTTGCTAGAGAAGTTGGCTGATTTTCCCTGCTTGATGGCCCCCTGCCAGTCAAACAGGTGGCACTGAGAGGGTCCCCAGCAAAGATATTTTCTGGATGAGAGGTTAGGTAGCATTGCAGTGGTACCTATAGGACCCCACCCAAGCATCAATTTCCATAGATGGAGCCCTACTTTCCCTGTTGCCAATACAAGGTCTGATATAAAGCTCCTAGAAGTCAATGGAGAGACTCCCAAAGGCTTTGAACCAGACCCCTGACAGGCTAAGGCCTGCCCTTGTTTGTACTCATCTGATGAGACAACTGAGGAACAGTCAGAACAAAATTCATTATTTGCTATGTCCCCCTAAGTTTAAAGCAGTTCCTAGCTTCACTTGCAGTCCCCAGCAAAAACCCTATGCAGACATGTGAGTTGTTATATTGCGATTTTCAGTTCACCCATAATGATAGGGTAGGAAACAGCACACAATGGCCAGGGTGAGAGCTTCAAGGACAAGACCTAAAGTTAGGCTCCCACATCTATATTTGGACACCTAAATAAATGGTATTTTCCAAAATAACAAGCACTCAGCCCCACTAAAGCCTGGTCATTTACTGAATAGGGACTGAGGAGCATAAATCAGGCCCCCACTTAAAAGTCTTCTTGGGAGCAACCTCACTATACATGCAGAGCCCAAACTGTCATCCTCACCCAGCCTCCCTGCCCCCACTAGTGTGATCTCACCTCCATGAAGTGGGAGATGGTCTGAATAGCCCAGTCTGTCTCATTGAAGGCATCCACCCAGGTATACACTGAGCCATTTGCTGTCTTAAACTCCTCCGGGTGCTTTGACAGGAAACAAGCAACATTCTCCACTGTCCAGTTTGAAGCAGGCAAGCTCAGGTCCTGGAGACCTTTGCTTTTCAGCAGTGTCTGCAGGTATTTTTCCAAAGGGGAGATAGTTATGTTGAGAGTTAATGTTGGAACACCCCCCTTAGCATGAAAATGAAAATTACCATGGGAAAATGCCTTTTAAAAAGGTACAGGGATGGCATCATCAGATCAGGGCTCCCCTCAAGCAGCCACCCAAGGAACCACAACCAGCAACCTACAAGGCAATGGCAGGATGCACCTATTTCAGGTGAGAATGAGCAATTGCTCTCTGGAAATGTTAACTTCCAGCACAGGTCAAACACTTGCACCAAAGGCTAGCCTGCTCCAAGAGCCAGCTAGGATTCACAGGCCAGATCTTGGCTGGGGAGTCAAGACATCTTGTTTCTGTTGTCTGCCAACAACTGCTGAGTGGCCTTGGGCAAATCACTGTCTCCCTGTGCTGCTGTTTCCTGTAGCGCTCATAGCCTCTGTCATCCACTTGAGTTGTATGTTCTCAAAAGACAGGCACTCTGTCATAATGAGAATCTTAGCATGCCAGGGTCCTAACAGCTCCTGGTGCCTCTGTATATTGTTCCATTACAAATAATGTTCAGCCCTGGTCTAGTTAATCTACTGGATGTGCTTTGCAGGCTGAATTGCTGTCTTCATGTCCTGCCACCTCTTTTGCTGCCCTCTCCTTGAAGAAGGCCATGCACAGTCCTGTGCCCTGGGAAAATACAGCGAGCAACTCCCAGCACTACAACAGGTGGCAGCTTTGTTCAGGGCCCCTCAGGCAGGCAGAGAGTTGTAGAACAGAACAACCCCCACCCCATCCCTTCCCCACTCCACACAAACAGAGCTGGAAAGGCAAAGCACAGAAGAAAGGAAGAAATGTATTCAGTTGATCAATCAGCAGTTGCTAAGCTCTACTGACTCCTTCCAAACAAACCTCTGCTCCCATCTGAGATGGAGAGGGGCTCAGGCATAGCTAGGAATTAAATTCCCAAGGTGCTAAACAGAAATATCAATATCAAGGGCTGGGTGGCTTGCTCACATTTGTTTCTATTGATTCAGGCAGCAAAGCAGGAACAGCTGGCTGAAACAGCACTGTATAGCCATGGGCAAGTCATGATGTCCCCCCATCTGGGATGGTGCTTTTTTCATCTGGTTTAACTGCTAGATTTTGAGGATGAACTGTCTCCCACTATGTGTATATGCAACGCTCTGCACAACAGAGCTACAGTCCAAGTAGGAGAACCTGGCACTAAAGCGGAACCCAGACCTGCAGGGCAGACAATAAGGGTTACAGGGAGGAAGGGAGCATTAACAGTAAAGGATACAGCTAAATTGGAGGAAAAAAAAACAGCAGAAGAAAGGAAATGGTAAAAACCCTAACAAATCAAAAAAGGAAATGAAATCTCTAAGAGCGTCCCTGTGCACAGCTGTTACCAAAAAACCAGAAAGTAAAGGGTCACGAGGTTAAAAAAATAATATTGCAAATTGGGAAAACAGGACAGAACAGGCCAAGCTGACAAAGGAGAACACAGAAAAGGGAAATTGTAATGAAAAGGGATAGGTCATGCTGTACTCTCTTCATATTCAGTCTCCCTAAGCTTGGCTCAGCCCACCCTCCCTTGCAGGAAGGGCACTCAGCCTCATCACACTCAGCAGTGACATTAAAGCAAGTTAACTCAGAGGGACACATCTTGCCCTTGAAGTTAGCAGGTGCATTAGTGTCAAGCTGGAAATGTCAGAGATAAGCGAGAAAAGCATTTCCTTTAGCAGGAAGGAATGTGCCAAATGCATGCTATGACCCAGGAAGCTGGGAGGTGAGATCCAGCCACCTGACAGCATGACAGCCTCAGTGTCTTACAAACAGCAAAGGACTAACACCCCTCCCCCCCACACACACCCTGATGGCAGCCCCAAGCAGGCAGCTACATGTTTTAGCCTATTACAAGTGGTCCATATTCCATCTCTAAATTGAACTGGATGCTGCCCTAGGAGTTGTCCAGGCATACCTGCACTCTTGAAATGCAACTGGTAACAACAAAGGGACTGGTGTCCTCCAGCTCATGCTACCACAGCAGTTATGGTAGTTCCTGGACCCTTGTGAAGATCAAAGTACCTACCCAGAGCCAGCAAGGTTAACAAACATAAAATACAAGCCCAGAAGGTCCTGGTCTTGGTCCTCTCTTAAAAATGCAGCAACATTCACTTCTCAAACACCACCTGTTTGTAAATCAATATCTAAACCTTGGTTTTCTGCCAGAAGTTTGCAGCTAATGGTTTGATTTACAATTGCTGGGCCTGATTCTAACCTCCCTGATGCCAACATCTGCGAAAATAACTGTCATCAAGCCATCATAGACATAGGAGAGACAAGAACGATGTCTCCGTCCTCTACAGCATGTCATGTCCATGGGGAAGTGCAGCAAGACAGGTCAGAGACTATCTTGCATGTCATTACAGTGAGGGAAACAGGGAGTGAACCTCAGGACTTAATATATTTGGGGAGAACCTCTCTGTACAACAGCTACATTATAACACTCAACCAACTGCCTTGCAGAGAAAGCAGCAACAACTACCTTGCACTGTTGCCCTGATTCTCTGTTGTGCTATTCCAGTTTTATATCGGTGTGATTCTAAAGAAATTGGCACAGAGATGCAGAGAGACCCACCCATCAGTGTTACACCTGGGGGTAAGCAACAGTCAACTAAGTCATTCATTTTTAATGGGCAGATAATGCCCTAGTAGTGCAGTGCTAGTCTAACATCTGGCACAATGCTCCAGAAAGCCAACAGGCTGACAGAGTGTGTCAGACCAGAACCAGACTCCTTGCCCCTTCTTCATGGTCTAATATGCATGGTGTGTTATGAAGTGATCAGCCATAGGGTGATGTTTGCTCTTCCCCCTGTGAGTATATGGATATTGCAAAATTAAGTATACCATGCAATTTCAAATGAGATTTTTACAAGGTTTGGGCCCAATTCCTGCCAGATGTCTAGGTTCAGCTCCAAGGTGATAAGCATTCAATTCCTACTGTACTCAATTGGACCTGAGGGCACCTGGCACCTTCCAGCATCTGACCTAGGCATACGATGGCTTGTTTTTGCTGCTCTCATGAAAGCAGCTGCTCTAGAAAATGCTGCTATGGAGACAAGTACAGCACAGGCAGCTAACTATGTTAACCAACCCCCAATGCTCCCAAGTTTACAAAATGCTATAAATCAGAGATTTATACAGAATTAGGGCAGAAGTGTGGAAGAAACAGCACATTTACCCCACTGAGGCAGATGAAAAACAGCAGTTAAATATGCAGTTAAACTTGTTCGTAAGTAGGATGCTGTGTGATTGAGGAATGCCCAGCATAATGCAAGAATGGTTCGATGAGAATGTGTCTCAAAAAAAGGGTTCACATAGCACTTATCTACCCAGCTCCGAGCTGAAGCACTGCCTAAAATAAATATTTTGTCACTTCTTGCAGAAGGTGCTGGTGGTGACTCTGGCAAGAACAGCATACTGACCCGAATCAGATCCATTTCCTGGCTGCTTTCCATAAATGTCCAAATCTTTGGGCTTATCTCCTCCCACATCCCTCTGAGGTCACGAAACACACCCAGCTCCTGGAACGTCCTGTTCACCTGTTGGCAAAGAAGCAGGGGAAGATTATTCCTAAAAGTTGGCAATGTCTCACTTTGGGCCAAGGGGTGCATTGACTTGTCAAGTGAGGTACTGGATGCAGTTCAAACAGCAACAGCTGCTGCAAGAAAGGGAGTGGGGAAAGTCATGTGAATATGGAAGGAAAAACACAGCAGGGAGCTGAGGCATGTGGCTGACCAGGGCCTGCTCAGAACATTGCCTTTCAAGGCTATTTAAAAGCCAGATGGAGAATGATTCTGGCACAGGCAGCCCCTCCTGATGCACTAGAAGAATTTGCTGAAGCAGTTTTGGGAAATTAAGAGAGCACATTAGACAAACCATTATCAGAAATAATTAAGGATCAGCTGACCATCCTGCAGTGGAGGAGAGGAAGGATACCTGAAGGCTTCTCAAAGTCCTTCCCAGCCCCATATCCTACATGAGAGTTTACAAGACTGAAGGTAATCAAAAAAGCACCATCAGGAAAGCTTTCAGTGAGGTCCAGAAATGTAGTTCAGCCTGGCCTTTTCTCTTTGGGCCTTCAAGCAGCAAGCATATGTGGGGTAGGACACATATACAGGTGGGACTCTGTGCTTTCTGGGCAATCCTTTCTGGGCTTACTTTTGGGCTCAATTCAGCACAGAGCAGGTGAGCTGTACAGCCACAGCACACACCATGAAGCAGTACACCTCATGCACTACATAAAGGAGGACAAGACTAGAATTACCTCAAACATAACATTCCTTATGGCTGGCATGTCAGGAGCGTACAAGATCTTCCCAATCAGCAAGGGTTTCAGAGCCCTCCAAATAATTCGAGAAAGTGGGCTCATCAGCTCATTGCAATAGGGTGCTGAAGAAGGAGAGAACAAGGATGAGCAGCTGAAAAGCACTGTGACAACTACAGAAGGCAAATGCCCCACGTGTGCTTTATGGGCAGATAGAGCAGAAAACACAGGGAACTCATGGCAGAGCTCCAGTGCAAAAAGGCAGTATACAGAAGGTGGTATAAAGGGACAGACTACAGAGGAGAAATTTAGAAGCACTGCCTGGACATGTAGGGATGGTGTCAGGAAAGCCAAAGCTCAAGTGGAGTTGAGACTTGCAACAGAAGTCAAGGGCAACAAGAGCAGCTTCTACCACTACATTAATAGTAAAAGGCTGAACAAGGAAAATGTGGGACTGTTGCTGAACAGGGCAGGTGATTTAGTGACAGCGGACACAGATATGGCTGAGGTACTCAATGCCTTCTTTGCCTTGAGCTTCACCAACAAGGTCTCCCAGGCCTCTGTGCTTAGAGGCAGGATTCAAGGAGGAGAAGAGCAGCCAGCAGTGGATGAGGGTCGAATTGGGGATTACTTGAGAGAACTCAACCCATACAAGTCCAAGGGAGCTCATGGGCGGCATCTGAGGGTGCTGAGAGAACTAGATGATGTCCTTGGAAGGCTGCTCTCTATCATCTTTGAAAGGTCATGGAGATCAAGGGAGATCTCCGATGATTGTAGAAATGCAAATCCATCTTGAAGAAAGGCCAATAGGTCAACCTGGGTAACTACAGGCCAGCCAGCCTCACTTCAGTCCCTGAAAAAAATCATGGAGCAAGTCCTTTTGGAAGCCATTTCTGGGCACATGAAGGAAGTGATAGTGACTGGGAATAGTCAGCATGGATTTACTATGGGCAAGTTATGCCTGACCAACCTGATTGCCTTCTATGATAAAATGACTAGGTTTGTGGATGAGGGGAGAGCAGTGGATGTCATTTACCTCACCTTTAAGAAGGTGGCTTTCAACACTGTCTCCCACAGTATTCTTATATCCAAGTTAGGACATTACGGTCTAGATGGACGGACAACTAGATGGGCAAATAACTGGTTGGATGATTGGGCTCAGAGGGTCGTGGTTAATGGGTCGTACTCTACCTGCATGCCCCTGATGAGTGCAGTACCACAGGGGTCTATTCTGGGACCTGTCCTGTTAGACATATTTATCAATGATCTGGAGGAGTCAATAGAACACAGTCTCATCAAGTTTGGGGATAACACCAAATTGGGGGGACCTGTCAATACTCTCGAGGGCAGGGCTGCCATTCAGAGAAACCTAGACAGGCTGGAGGAATGGGCCAACAGGAACCTTATGAAATTCAACAAGGACAAATGCCAAGTCCTGCACCTGGGAAGGAATAGCCCCTTGCAACAATATAGGCTGGGGACTGACTGGCTGGGGAGCAGCTCTGCAGAAAAGGCCCTGGGCATCTTAGTGGACAGCAAGCTGAACATGAGCCAGCAGTGTGTCCTGGCAACAATGGAGGCCAACAGTATCCTGGGTTGTTTTAACAGGAACATAGCTAATAGAACAGAGGAAGTGATTCTTCCCCTCTGCTCAGCACTTGTTAGACCACATCTAGAATACTGCATCCAGTTTTGGCCCCATCCAATAAAAGACAGACATTGATCAACTGGAGTGAGTTCAGCAGATGGCCACCAAGACAGTCAGGGAGCTGGAGCACATGCCCTATGAGGAAAGGCTGAGGGAACTGGGCTTGTTCAGCCTGGAGAAGGGAAGGCTTCAGGGAGGCTTGTAGGCTTCCAATACCTACAAGGAGAGGGAGTCAAGATCTTCACAGTGGTGCACAATGGGAGGACAAGAAACAACAGGTATGAGTTGAAACAAGAGAGGTTTGGATTGGATATAAGGAAAAACTTTTTCCCCATGAGGACAGTCAAGCAGTGGAAGAGGTTGCCCAGAGAGGTTGTGCAGTCTCCATCCATGGAGGGTTTCAAGACCCAACTGGAAAAAGCCCTGAACAACCTGGTCTGATCTCATAGATGAAAACCAAAACAACAAATCAGACCCCCCCGCAACAAATAAAAACCCCACCCTCCTCAACTGCTAAGCTCCATTAGAAGCCCTTTTCATTACATGCCTCTAAGCGCACAGTCTGCAGAGTGCAAGGAACACCTCCATAGTGAAGAACCCCATTTCTGATTCCACACAGCTCACAATCCAGTGCATGGCACAAGCAGAATTTGTGCTGATAAGGCCAAATTTCCAAAGGCTCCAGGCCACTGTGCTCCCTTTCCCCTTGCAAGATGACCATAGAACAGCCCACAGGGCACTCTACACAAGGTGCTTGGGAACCCCTTGTGTGCTGATATCCCTGTTGGCCTTAAAGGTACATGCAGGAGACAGTATTTAGGTGTTCAGGCAGGCTTTTGAAATAACAGAAAGTATGCTGCTTCTCAGGGATCTTAAGCCACAACAGGATTCCACTTACTTGTGGAGTTATCGTAGAAATTAGTTATGTCATCTTCAGTGCTGTTGTCTCCAAAGAGCGCTTTGTAGTTATTGTCCTCATACCAGTTGAGAGACTTGATTTTGAGCCCTCCATCTTCAGGATGGCCACACACAATGCGTGACACAGCCTGGTAAATCTGTGTAGAGGAGCTTGAGGCATTCACGTTGGTCAGGAACATTACCTCTTGCCTCATGTCACTCCAGCTCTTCATGCTCAGCAACTGCAGGGGGAAGTGGGAGAAGAGAATGGGGACAGGAGCGGGAGACGAAGGAAAAAGGTCTTGCCATTCTCCTCTGAATCACACATCTATTTTTGAATAGCTAAGGATCTCACTGAATGCAACACTAACAGGAGAGACTAGGGAAAGCACATTTCTCCCCACAACAGTGGGGAATTGTAGAGAAGAGTGTTTTGTGCATGCACAAGAACCACCGTGCCCTTGTCAAGCTTTTTATTCTGAGTCTTCACCTTTAATTTCCTGGAAGGATCCTGCCCTCCCTGCCTCCTCTCCCATCCCCTCCCATGCAGAAGCCACTTCTCCTCCTTGTTGCACAACAGTTCACATTCCAACAAAATCCCTTCATTCTGGGGTGGAGCAAGTCAGAAGGAAAAAAAAGAGTAAGGAAATAATAATGAGTCAAGCTAATCAGATGCAACTTTACAACACTGAGCCTTGCTGAACTGCAGGCCTCAGTGCTCTGCTGGTATAAATTGGCACAATTCCACAGAAGTCAGCAAACCTCTGCTGATTCATATCTGGCAGAAAATTTGACCTTCTAGGTCAATATCATTGTCCCTGTCCCAGCTCCTCCCTGCCCCTTCATCAATAGCAGTCTCAGAAAACCCTTGAAAACAAGCCCAGCTGCAGCCAAGGGCCTGGTCACAACAGAAGTCTTTCTATTCCACAGTGCATGCATCCAGACATAACAAGGAACCTTCTCCTGCCCATCTTGCCTAACACTAGGCACAGAGATGCAACACTCAAGACTTGCTGGGAAGGTCTGAGCCACTAATATGTTTGCACTTAGAGACAGGGCCAGATTCTCCACATGGGAAAAACAATGCATTTCCATGGGCATTGGTTTACAATCTACTACACTATAGAGTTTCAATCATTATTCTCAGATTGCCTGGCTGGAAGCATAAGAACATAGGAGTGTCCATACTGGGTCAGACCAAAAGTCTATTTAGCTCAGTATCCTCTCTCTCTGACAGTGGCAGCAAGTAGATGTCTAGGAAACATTAAGGCAAGAGCAAGAACGTAGGCTACTTCCCCCAAGTAATCTTTCAGCCTACAATTATTTTCAGTTCAGGGAACTTCCTAAGCTAAATGTGGTTTTTATCTATTTACTAACCCATAATGGATTTCTTGCACAGTAAACTTTTAGTGTTTTGAACACCTGCAAATATTTACCATCCACCACATTCCATAGCAAGAAGATCCACATGTCTATTCATTAGGAAGAACCACCTCTTTTCTTTAACTTGGCTAGTTAGATTCATTTGATTCCCTAATTCTTGCATTGGAAGAGGCAATGAACAGCCAATCCCTATACCTCTTCTTTGGAACACTCATGAATCTACAGACCTCTCATATCCCCAACTCATCTCCTTTCCAGGCTGACAAGTCTCAGCCTATTCATTCCAGACTTCTAAATGTTCTCACTGCCCTTCCCTGAACTTTTTCCAGTTCTACTATACCCTTTTGAGACAAGAGGACCAGTTCTGTACTCCTTGTTGAACAGGAGGGCAAACCATGGATATATACTGTGTCACAGTAACATTCTTTTCTAAATCTTTTCTAGCATTTGATCTGCTTTCTTGACTGCTACTGATCATTGAAGTATCAAGCAACATTAATTGGGACATTCTTGCTGTGCTGCCCAGAACAACAACAAGCTCTATTAGGAGTAAGCAGTGCTGCTGAGATACTGATTGTAACTGTTTTTCAGAAGCATCTCAGCCCAACTGCTCTGTTTTCAGAGACAATGGCACAGAGACAGCCAGAGCCCAGCTGCCAGTTTTGTTCATTGTATGCCTTGCTTTTGTCACCTTTGTTTAAATAAATTGCAGGCAATAGAACTCTAGGACAGTTGGCAAAACCAGCCAGCAACAATCCAGAAGGTGACAGTGCCCTGGAACTATTAAACTGAAATTCACACAAGGTAAGCACTCTGCCAAAGTCACTGGCCTTATGCTAGGGACAAATCTGACCCTTTGTGTTTATTTGTAGAACTGTGGATGTTTTAGATGTGCCAACATCTGGGCAAAAATTCCAATGATACTAAACAAGAGCTACTTTGTGTCATGCCACTCTGCCTAAAAATACATGCCATATTGATACGATGGAAGACAGTTGCAAGAAGAGCTAAAACTTGAGGATTCAGTACTTAAATGCCTAAAGTTACTGCTTTAAGCATACTTTCATCTCCTCACTACTCGCTGCTGTCTTTGTCTGCATCATGGTGCCACTCAATTTGGCACAACAAGGTTCAAGTGTGGCCAACAGGATGCTGACATCATGGGATGTGAAGGAAATAATGTTAGAGATCAGCTTTTGTTAGTTGCACTATGGCTCACCCAAATTTTGGGTTGGACGACTCCTAAACCAAAAGGACAAGGCACACACTCAAGAGTGATGGTCAGTTAGATTGTCCAATCCAAAGGCCTATTCCCTAGCAGAAAGTCAGCTGCTTTACCTATAGTACAATCAACTGAAATGATACCCAAAGAAAAGGCAGCTATTCCCACAAATGTATCAAGTGTAGCTACCTTGCAATGGGCTTGTATTAGCATAAATATATTGGTTACATATAATTTTAAAAAACAAGTTGAGGAAGTGGCTTTGTTTCATCTTTGAAACAAGTGAATTTACAAGTAATAGGAGATGTACTGAGCTCACTGTTCACAGAATCACAGAATCACAGAATGGTTGAGGTTGGAAGGGGCCTCTGGAGATCATCTAGTCCAACCTCCCTGCTCAAGCAGGGTCACCTAGAGCATATTTCCCAGGATCACATCCAGATGGGTTTTGAATATCTCCAGCGAAGGAGACTCCACCACCTCTCTGGGCAACCTGTTCCAATGCTCTGTCACTCTCACAGGAAAGAAGTTTTTCTTCAGGTTCAGATGGAACTTCCTGTGTTTCAGTTTGTGCCCGTTGCATCTCATCCTATCGCTGGGCACCACGGAGAAGAGACTGGCCCCATCCTCTTGACACACACCCCCCCCTTCAGATACTTGTACACGTTGATGAGATCCCCCTTTAGTCTTCTCTTCTCCAGGCTGAACAGGCCCAGCTCTCTCAGCCTTTCTTCATAGGAGAGATGCTCCAGTCCCCTAGTCATCTTTGTAGTCCTCCACTGGACTCTCTCCAGGAGTGTTGGACACAGGACTCCAGGTGAGGCCTCCCCAGGGCTGAGTAGAGGGGCAGGATCACCTCCCTCGACCTGCTGGCAACACTCTGCCTAATGCACCCCAGGAGACCATTGGCCTTCTTGGCCACAAGGGCACATTGCTGCCTCATGCTTAACTTGTCCACCACCAGGACTCCCAGGTCCTTCTCTGCAGAGCTGCTTTCCAGCAGGTCAACTCGATGTTGAAACTGGAAGTAAAAATGTTTGCCATAGGGGGAATGTATCAAACCTGACTATTGTAATTTCCTGTTTGGTTTCTTGCAAACTGCTTTTGCCTGATCATATTTGATCTTAAGGATAATTTTATTTAAGGTGGATTAGGTGATACGGCATATCCATCATGGTACTTCATCATTCTCTTTTTCAGTTTGAATGTGACGTGATATTTTGTAGTACAAATTAAATCTGTTCAGCAGTCAGCTTTGAAAGAGCAAACGTCTTTTATAGCTCTCTAAAATGTTATGAATAGCAAGCAAATAAAAGCCACCTGATCCTTAAGGTTCTCAAATGCTTCTCTTTCATTTGTAGGTTACAGCCACCACTGTAGAGAGTAGAAGTGGGTTATCCTCTGATCCTGTCCTGCTTAGCTGCCGTCATAGCACAGCTCCTCGCTACCAGGCGGGGTGCAGTCTGGTACCAAAGGGAAGGGTTATTGGGAAAATCAAAGTGAGTTGCAGGAGTTGAAGGACAGGGTGTTGAAAGAGACTGACTTTCCATCTGAATTGTTATTAGGCATGGTAATTTAATGCCAATGGCATTTAATGCTGAAGGCAGCCTTCTGTGTGGCTACAGGAAGTCAAGGTTGGTTCCTTTTTTGTTCATAGGCCATGGTAACTTCAACAGTATTGTGCTACTGCTAGTAGTACTAGTACTACTGCTGGTACTACAGCAGGCCTCCAGATCATCGATGAATACATTGAACAAGACTGGACCCAGCACTGACCCCTGGGGGACACTGGTAGCTACAGGCCTCCAACTAGACTCCGCACCACTGACCACAACCCTCTGAGCCCTGCCATCCAGCCAGTTCTCAATCCACCTTACTGTCCACTCATCCAGCCCACACTTCCTGAGCTTGCCTAGGAGGATGTGATGGGAGACAGTGTCAAAAGCCTTGCTGAAGTCCAGGGAGACAACATCCACTGCTCTCCCCTCATCTACCCAGCCAGTCATTCCATCATAGAAGGCTATCAGAGTGGTCAAGCATGATTTCCCTTTGGAGAATCCATGCTGACTACTCCGGATCACCTTCTTGTCCTCCATATGCTTAGAGATGACCTCCAGGAGGAGCTGTTCCATCACCTTCCCAGGGATGGAGGTGAGGCTGACCACTATTCAAACCCCTGGAAGAAGTATCTCATACCCATAAGTCAGACCTGTCTGACTAAGGGTTTCTTAACAGTTCCCCTCACGTTCAGGGTTTAATCTACCCTCCTAGGTTGATTTAGAGAGCCCAAGGACACAGATCTGGTTATTTCCCATACTCAGAGTCAAAGATTTTTTTCAAACCCTTCACTAATTCAAATTCCTTGCTAGAAAGGCTTCTAAGACTTGGTATAAACAATAGTTCTCACCACACCCTCAAGCTTCAGTCCTGAGAAACAAGGGAATGAGTCCCTCCTTTGTGCACAGAAGTCAGCCTGCCAGATGATAAGGATTAATTTTTAAGCCATCTAGAGCAGCTCATGCTGTACAAAAAAGAAAAAAAGTTGCTTTTTCCCAGCAGTAGGGCAGAAAAAGAGGTACTCCTACCCAAAATAGCTGCCAAGTAAAAGGCAAATTACTTGGGGATGTTTTCAGCCACATCAGTGAACTAAACATCACATGGTTTTGATTATTTTTATCCCAGACAAAAAAAGCAAACCTGAGTGATGCAACAGGAAACAGCTGTAAACAAATTCTTAAGGGCAGCCTCTCTGCTAACAGCAAGAGCTCTGCCATAGTCTTAACTGAAGCTAATCTTGGAATCATCTTAATTTCCCTGTAAATAGGACCCAGATGCAGGTTCTGGGACTTGGCAAGGGATCTGTGCCAGGAATTGTTGGCTGGCATCGTGCTGGCTCCCAGCCCCTGCCCCTCCATGGCACCCGCTAACCTGAAGTGACCCCCTCTTCTGCATGCTCTCAGAGGTTACTGCTGTTCATGGCTCTAAGGCTTTCTTGCTCTGACCCAGACAGAAGACTAACGAAGGGGAGGAGGAGGAGGTATTGTTTAGATTAAATTGTGATCCCTGCAAGAGGGAGAAAATGTCTTCACCTAGTGGCAGCTCTTCACTTCAAAGTCAGAGCCAGCCAAGAAACAAGGAAGATAAGTTTTCTGGCTCTAAAAATAATGGATTTGGGGTTCTGACTAATGCTAAGCATGCAGGGCTTATTTTTATCTACCATTTCACCTGCAAAAACAGATATTCACAGGCTCTATAATGTCACTTTGCTGTGCAAACTGCTAATATTGTTTATGTTCTGGCAGAGCTTTCCTTAACCAGGGTCAGGATGCCATTGTGTTGGGTGCAATACAAAGACTAAAAAACCATCTCTCCTCCCAAAAGCTTGTTATCCAAAGATTTAAAAAAACAAACAGTGAATGATCAGAGCCTGTAACTACTAATTTACAACATCTTCGACACACAAGTCCTCACCATTCTCAGAGACCAGTAGCTATAACTAAATAACACCCTTGACATGTTTGGCAACTGGGTACAAAATTTACAAAGCAGGCAAACTGTCACATACAGTTTGTAAGGCACTGCTAGCCAGCAGATATACTGCAAAGGCAACTGCTGTGCCACTACTGAGTAAGTGAACCCCACAGAAAAGAACTGAATTCTTGCTCCTTCCCTCAAGGACCCAACCATTAGCTACACATCTCAAGATTCTTGGTGTTTGTTGATGGAAGTTCTGGGCACCAAGGGGCTGCAAAGTGGGAGCTATCTCTATCGACATAGGGAGGATAAGGAGAGGAGGAAGTTTGAAGGCCAGCAGGGGACTTGACTTTTTCTGAATTGCACCAAGTAGACTAGTGCTTCTTGAACTCAGTTACAGGCTAGGACAGTAATTGCAGAGATCGATTCTTTTGACAGGAAGGAACTGCTTACCTCTTTAACAAGCTTCCCAAGGCTCTCTGTTAAAGTCTCTATGGTTTCTGACAGATCCCACAAGGAGGAATTGAAAGGGATTCGTTTCTGCAACAAGAGAGAAAAGGAACCTGAAAGTCACTGCAAGGCACAAACCAGAAGACATTTCATGCAAGAGAAGTGTCAAGAATCTTTAGACTAACAAGTTTGACAGAATTCCTCTTTCAAAGGAATCAGGATTAAAACCATTTCCTAAAATTTCACATCAGCAGCTATATGTAATATCATTTAAAGGTTATTTGAAAGCATGTTAAAGTTACAGCATTGTAACACACAGAGAAACGACCAAGATGACACTTCCATTACAGATCCCTGTTTTTAGCATACATCTAGCACAACTAGACATAAACAAAGAGGTTCCTGGAAAGCATTGATGATAATTTCTTGACAGAGGTGGTGGAGACGCCAACAAGGAGAGGTGCAATGCTAGACCTTGTACTAACAAACAAAGAAGGTCTAGTTGGAGATGTGAAGGTTGGGGGCAGCCTTGGCTGCAGTGACCATGAGATGGTGGAGTTCAGGATCCTGAGAGGAGGGAGCAGGGCAATAAGTAGGATTGCAACCCTGGACTTGAGGAGAGCAGACTTGGGCCTCTTCAGAGACCTACTTAGGGGAATCTCATGGGACAGGGCCCTAGAAGGAAGAGGGATCCAGGAGAGCTGGTTAATATTCAAGCATCACTTCCTCCAGGCTCAAGATCGGTGCATCCCTCTGAGGAAGAAATCCAGCAAAGTGGGCAGGAGACCTGCATGGATGAGCAAGGAACTCCTGGCAAAACTCCAGCAGAAGAAGGAAGTGTACAGAATGTGGAAAAGGGGACAGGCCACTTGGGAGGAATACAGGGACATTGTCAGCGTGTGCAGGGATGCGACAAGGAAGGCTAAGGCCCATTTGGAATTAAATCTGGCAAGGGATGTCAAGGACAACAAGAAGGGCTTCTTCAAATACATCAATAGCAAAAGGAAGACTAGGGGAAATGTGGGTCCGCTGCTGAATGGGGCGGGTGCCCTGATAACA